CGCGCTTTTGCGATATTCCAATAATAATTAATTAAAACCTTATTTCTCGTCGCGTAAGGCTTTGAAAACCTTCCAAATATTATTTTATCTTCTTGAACAATTATTCAGCAACATTTAGAAATAAAAATCGTGTATATAACGCCATTTTTAAAAGCACAGGAGGCGAAATACCTACCCTACCCCCTGCCGTTTTTTATTATTATTTATTGCTCTATCGCTTCTCCGTTCTTGTATGGGGCTTTTATAGACAAATAAAATATTTAATCCTGCTTGAAATTTAATTCTCTTTTTAATAAAATTAATTACAAGTCTCTATCTTAATCCGTATAGGACATAGAGGCGAAAAACCAACCCCCTTCCTGTCAGCCAGAGCGCGCTTTTCCGAATTCCAATAATAATTAATTAAAACGTTATTTCTCGTCGCGGAATGCTTTGAAAACCTTTGAAAAAAAAATTCCTTAATTTATTCTGAAATCAGGAACAAATCTATACATACATATTCAGGTACATTTAAATAAATTCAAGTTTGTTTATTTCATTATCCCTAGTCAAGGCAACTTTAAGGACAAACAAGACATTCCTTAATAATCATGATAATAGATAAATTTTTCTAGGAGTTTGTCATTGAAGTATTGCTACTTAAACATGTTTACTCACAAAAAATTGAGGTACCTTACCAGGCATTTCTGCAAGATACCATGGGTAGTTTTTCTTATATAATCCATTGGGGAAGAAAAATAATTTTCCAGTTTCAAATGTTTAAGGGTTTGGATTTTTTAAAAACTTTTAGAAACTTGTTTAGAGATAAGAATGTTGAATGTAGAATTTTGAATATTTTTCATACATTACGAAGATATACAAAACAGATTTTGAGGAACGTCTCCTCTGACCTTAATGAACTAATGATATTTTACACTTGATAAATTTTTAGATTTCATTTTAAATCATTCTGATAAAAAAAAATGCTTAAAATGTGAAATTAATCAAACAAAGGCTTGTTCTAGAACAGCATTAGGGACTTTGTCAATCCAATCAATATTAAATGTTAGATACTGACTTAATCTAACAACATCCTGTAGAGTGTCATGTCAGAGGTCAAATTCTATTAACCAATCAAATAGTCAACTGCAAAATTATTGTTTTTTATATATTGGAATGAATAAGGCTAGAGTTGTTCCGTATTTGACATCTGACGTGACCTTCTATGGGATGTTGTTAGATGTGATCATGTTGTGTAGCGAGTATGCGAGAGGATCTAACATGTTGTTTTATTTAGATTGGGATTTTGTTAAACTATATTTATATATATTTTCAATAGGTTGAAATAACTGATGAGCAGATCAATCCAACTTGAACATGATATCATTTCTCCAAGGATGAAAACAAGTCTCTCTATACTCAAGCATTGATATTTTTAAAGTCGTCTGAAACTGGAACAGGTCATACATGCAGACTACAGTGATGTGTTGCACAGTTCCGAAAACATACAGCCACCAATAGCATAAGCATGATAAGTGTAAGTGGGTCATCAAAAAATGAGAACCACTCAAGGACTTTTCTGTTCGTTGATGATGGACTACAAACTGAATTTTTAACTAAGAAATCCACCTTGGTGCTTATTGGCTACTCATGATGTGAACTTGTGCATTTATTATACCAAGTAATGTTTCATTTCCTTGATAATACTAGACTTGCATAAACCGAATTCAGGTTAAGTTGATTGGTTGCAGTAATGCAGTTCTAAGTTCCTCTCGCAAGATTATATCTCTGATGTATGAGACATCATTAAATGCAGACATTTTCTCTGTCCTCTTGTCGTGACTTGAGGGCTCGGACTTAACTGCAAAAAATGTTTATGATGCAAGAGAAAATAAATGTTCAACACGATGTATGTAAATGTTGAAAATAACATTTGATATTCTTTGATAACAAGTGTTAGTGTGTTGTTGTTTTTTCCAGTATGTGAATTCAGGGGGAAAATGACTTTTGGTTGAAAACCAGGGCTAAATTGTGTAGTCAATACTACAGTTTCCGTTGCGGGAACCTATAGTATACCCTATGTATATCAAAATTGTAAACGCATACTGAAACCTTGCGTATGCCTCAAGTTTCAGCAAGTTTCTGTTGCGGAAACCATTGGTAAACCATATGTATTTCAACCGCATTCGCATACTGAAACCTTGCGTATACCTCAAGTTTCAGCAAGTTTCAGTTGCGGAAACCTATGGTACACCATACGTATTTCAACAGTATACGCATGCTGAAACCTTGCATATACCTCAGGTTTCAGCAAGTTTCAGTTGCGGAAACTATTTGAATTCGTGGACACCTTTGGTTTCCGCACTGCGGAAACTTGATGAAACGAAGTTTCCGCACTGAAACTTTGCAGAAACCATTAGTAACCTTAAGTTTCCGCAGAGTTTCAGTAGAGTTTCAGCCATGCGGAAACTGTATTTTTCATCCAGTGCTGCCATTCGTTTGTTTGAATGGAGAATTGGTAGGTTCTTTTGAAGGATAAGGTTCTTAAGGACAGGATGGTATGTGGTTACCAGAGGGACCCTGCTGCTATTGTCTTTCTCCTTGTAGCATAATAGGTTTTGTCTGTCATGTCCCTCCATCTCATCAATAGCTGTTTGTACTGTGCGGGCATTGTAGCATCTTTTGCATAAGTGGAACTTAAGAAGACCACTTTGCTCCTGGAATAAGGCAGGGGACGAACAGATGCGTCGAATTCTGGTGGCTAAACCCTTAGGCACTCCCTTAAAAGTCTGTGGGGGGTGACAGCTATATATCCAAAGAAAGAAAAATCTAGAAGTAATTTAAAATGATTATTTGTTTTTGCAATCCTTCTGACATTTTTAAAATGATTCTCTGGATTTCCTTGGGATTGGGTCCGTATTCTCATAGTTTAATTCTTTTCAATCTATTTTTGACCTTTCCGTCTATTTTGTTTGCCATATGTCAGATTTCCTGCAAAAACGTCATTAGTTGGAACCATGGATTTCATATGCTAAGTGTTTCTTTCTTTGTGACGAGATCCTTTTCTATTTTATATTTGACATATGTCGTACTCTGTATTTCCAATGTAAATTCTTTCATAAACAATATTTTACAAAATGTTAATGTAATGATCAACTCACTTGATGAAAGTTTAAAAAAAAAATGCACTGTATTGCAATTATTATTCTTCATGTTGGATCTTTTACATGTATTTGATTTTCTTCACTTTCCCACTGTCACGCTCAGCTACAAAGAGGTTGTCTTTGGAGTCTACACATAGTCCCCATGGACGTTGTAAGAAACAGTTATCAATGTAAGAGAGGAATTGTCCATCCTGATCTAGAATGTGGATACAGTGGTTGTATGTGTCTGCTGTCAGGATCTGACTCTGGCTGTCTGTTGTGATGCCACGTGGACAGAATGATTCTTTTTTATTAGAGGGCAGACCTGTATATCGAAATCGGAGTTTACCTGCCTGATTAACGACCACTACTGCATGGGCGTCAGAGTCAGCCACACAGATATCCAGGTTCCTGTTCTCACTGATGTATTTACTGTAGTAAGGTGAATACAAAGGTTTACCTTTACTATCAAACTGAATGGTTTGTTTTTCTGTATAGTCAAAGAAACGGACAACTTTTGTTTGTTCATTTTCACGGTTCATGGTGACCAGGAGATCACCAGAGAACGTACTGCATACATAGTAAGGTATCCATCCCTGTTGTCGGATCACTTCCTGTATCAGGCCATTCTTTATCATGTTTACAGCACATTCACTGGGCTCAGTGTAAACTAGATCTCCATTCCTTGTAACCGCTATATCACGAACTTTATATTTTGTTTGGAATGCTTTCAGTTGTTCCCCCTGAAGATTGTAAAGTTTAATGATTTTGTCTTTTCCGCAAGTCCAGATTTCTTTATCATTGAGATTGGTAACATTGGACATATACCCAGTGTCTATGGTGGTGATGAGCTCTGGTACATCAAGAAGTGGTTTGACCGGAGGACAGGATGCAGATTCTGATGTCCTTATTGTGTAGCCATGTTCTTCTGTTGTAATAGATAATGCTGACAAAAAACCAAAACATTGATGGAGCTGTTCTGTGTTGATCTGTTGAGGAAAAAACCTTGGATAGGATACGATGACTTTCGGTGGACAATGTTTGAATTCAGCAATTTTTGATTTGTACATTAAGAGGAGGAAAACATCATTTGAGTCGAGTATTTTATTTATGTCTAAAATACTCTGTTTTAATTCAAAAGTTATCTGTTTAAATTGATTTTCGTCTTTATTCAGAACAGCAAGGTGTCTTGATTTCATCTCTTCAATTTTGGTTTTTTGTTTGTTGACAATGATGTTAATTTCTCTGTGCCAGTCTTCTCCTTGTTCGGTGACAGCTGTTGTCAGTTTCTCATAATGTTTTCGCAAGTAATCTATCTTAGAGTTCAAATCAACTCTAATTTTTTCATATGTAGGATAAATATATTCTTGGAGTTCTTTTAAATCTTTTTCTAAGTCTTCTGTTTTAGAACTTATTTTTTGCAGAGCATCAGATAAATCATGTCCTTTATGTTTTCCAGAGGAAAGGCAGGTAGAACATACAGGAATGTTACATTTCTCACAGTAATTTTCACAATGTTTCTGGTCGTGGTATCGGCATTTTGGGTTATTAGGAAAAGAAGTCTTATGTGTGTATGGCACAACGTTGTGTCTTATGGATGAATCAGAGAGGTGATCTCCTACACAAACCTTACATAGGTTAATCTGACAAAGTTCACAATGACTCTGTAATGCAACTTTTTGACAGAGGTCACAGAGGAGGATGTCTTGGGCACAGTATCGGGGGTCCATAACTGGCGTTTTGGTCAAACAAATAGAATACCCTGTAATGAAAAATAAAATTCAACTTATTTGACATTATTAAAGGATCGGGGTTCTATCATAAGTGTCTCAATCATATGATGAAGCTCGGCTGTAATATTATGATGTTAAGATAAAATCTATAGTGTGTGTTAAATAAACATGTATAAAGAAAATATGATGAACTGGTGAAAGGTACATTCTGATTTGTAAATAAACGCTAAAATTACAAGGGGAGTAGCTATTAAGTCTATTTTAAGAAAGGAAAACTAACTATATACAGAGGACCATTTAGTACCTCATTCACTTCACCACTTATAGAACTGAAAATGAATTATCACAGTTATTAAAAGAATTGACATTATATCAATTTTTGAATTGAAAGAGGAAAAGGCTTTAAATTAAACACCTAGCCTAAGAAGCACGATTTTTTTTTTTACAGTTTCCTACCTCTTATTTCAAGATGGCCTATCTAGCTACAACAATCTTCCTGGTGTTGGTTCTTGAATCTGAGCTTTATTCAGGTTATGTTGTTTAAATACCTTGCATGTTACTGTATTAATATCTTTGTCAAAGTTACCTTTAAAGTGTGTTAAAATACACAGTGCTGTCAATGTAATTTAAAACATTATCCTATAATCTAGCTACCGAGTTGTTGTTGTAAAGATAAGTGTCACGCTGCTCTGCAGATGATCGATATTGTCCGAGTTAATTGTTTATAACTATCTGTTTTTACAATAATGTCATTGAAAAAATGAAAATGATTTCATAGCGTTTAAAAAAAATAAAAAACAAGTTTCTCTAATGAAAAGTGGTTAACTGACTGTGGTGAAAAAATACGACGAAAATAAAGGAAAAATAAGCTGGTTATATTTCTTGCATGTAAAGGAAAGTAAAGTAAAAATCAAAATATTTGATTAATTACAACTTTGCTTGGACAAATATTAATAGTTTCTTTCCCAGCAGGCACACAACATTGAAAAAAAAAAACTTTGAATCAACGTAGATTATATATGCTGATTCAACATTTAGTTTATGTAAGATTTTGAAGATTGAGTTCAACGTTGAAATCTTCACGTTGATTTAATATTGAAAATCAATATTGACTAGACATTGAATAAAAGTTACTTCGACGTTGTTTTTTTCCTCTTTTTCCGGGAGTTGGGGGGATTACTTACTTAAAATTTTAAACGTTTTATTAGAGGTTACTACTTAAGATGCCTTCTTAATTGTTTAAAGGAAAACATACGGTATATGAAAAAATATATATATTGCAAACATTTATTTATATTCGTATCAATAGATGTGTTGCAAAAAATTTCACCAAGATGCATTCATGTTACAAAACCAGAGCATTTTCATAGAAACGTTTTGTATTTTCACCTGGGGTCATGAAACAGTCCAGAACATGAAACCATTCCAAGGTAAGATGTAAATCTTATACGGTACCACTTTTGATGCACCAGATACGCATTTAGACAATTTATGTATCTTCAGTGATACTCGGATTTGTCGAAATGTCTCCTTTAAAAAGTAATTTTTTATTTAAATCTTGGTGTTAGAGTTCTGAGGGTTGTGTTGATCACCTAATTAGTACTTTCTAAAGGATTTTGTTGGTCTTCTGAGTAGACAGAGTGGTACCTCTTTTAGTTGATTATCCATACAATGTACAATTTGATGTAATGAATATAAATTTGTATTACGAAAAATGTTAAAATTGTGTTCAATCTCATACTTTTATTCCAAAATTATATTTTAGTGAAAATTGACGAACACTTAATAAATAATATCTTGCGCCTGTCCTAAACTATGAATAATCAATTCAAAGACAAAGATATCAAAAACGAAGGATTACATGCAAAAAATAGCCAATTTCTGGCATTGCAAATAATACTTTTTCAACAAAACTTGAAAATGCTGTTTTTAAAAGTGTACTGAGAATGGTTAATGCACTGTACCATTTTATTTCTATGCTTTAACATTCATCAGTCGCTTCAAATTTGCTGGAGGCTGTGAGGTCCTGGAATGTCCTTCATTTGCAAGATACTTCTATCATTGTTTGCCTGTGTGATAGATTAAATCTGTTTCTGCAAATTTGTTCCCTTTCTTTATCGACCAAAATTAAGATTGAGGCCATGTCAGTAAGCATTGAGCTTCACCCTATATAAACATTGAAAGTGGAAAAATTAAGTTCTTGCTCAAATTTTGTGAGCATGGTGCATTTGATTAGTCATTCTATAAAAATATATACACCTACGCATATTATGACCTCTTGTTTCCATGGCAACCACAGCATTTTGTCATACTTTATCAGAGAAATATTTGGACTGGCTTGTTAGAATTCATATATTCTACATCAAAACCCAATGTATAATTTGATAATGTGGATCATAAAGTGCTTTGAACTATAATTTCTGCTTTATAAATAAAATTTCATTTGTGCTTAATTTTATTCAGATCTTAATGATAGAATTATATCCCATAAAGGGCTATGTGGTTTACAATACCTGTGCACCTTTAGAAATTTCTAGATACATGTATACATGTAGAAGGAAAATATTTTGTTCAACATATTAAATAAATAAAATTGGTTAGACTCCTAAAAATGTAAGTCAAATATCAGATTGAATTGTTGTAAATCTCTCTTGAAAAACGATTGGATTGCCTCCCTTGCATGAGTTCTCTGGTAAAGGAGACCAAAAAGAATGGAACAGACGACAATAGAGAAAACGCGGGAGAAAAAGAAAAACTTTCAACTTGAAGTAGTTGGACAAAAACATATAATGGTATGTTAAATATGTATTTTTCATGTACATTTCTGGATAAAATTTGATAACTTTATCTCTTTAAGGCAAAAGTAAAGATTTGGAAAATTAAGTGATGCAGCGAAATTTCTCATTTACTGTCTCAACTTATTAGGAGCAACCTGTTATATGACCACTAATGTTTAATTCTGCAGGTGTTAGATTACTCCTAATACAATCAAAGAAAGATAAATGCTAATAATGATATTTACAATATGCATATGCTATTTGTGGATTATGTAAAGAGGTCATGAGGTAACACTGCTGGTAAGACTTATGTCCCTATTTACACATATTAGTCATTTTAACTCACCTTCTTCCCATTTATAAATCAGAGTTTCAAAACCTAATCTATGTCCAAATTTTTATTTCTTTAGCCTTCCATAAAATCAATGGAACAAACTTATAAAATTAATATACTAATATCTAATGAGTTTTTCTACCAACTAGATCCGGGTTAGAATAGGTCCTCAGTACCCCCTTGTTTGTCATAGAAGGCGCGACTAAATGGGGCGGTCCTTCGCATGAGACCGTATAAACCGAGGCCCCGTGTCACAGCAGGTGTGGCACGATAAAGATCCCTCCCTGTTCAAAGGCCGTTAGTACCGAGCATAGGCCTAAATTTGCAGCCCTTCACCGGCAATGGTGACGTCTCCAAATCAGTGAAATATTCTGGAGAGGGACGTTAAACAGTATACAATCAATCAATCAATCATTATGTTAAGAGAAAGCAAGAGTTTTCCCGCACTTCTGGTATTTGTCACACTGTGACAGGATGTCATTTTGATATCCTTTCACACTGTGACAGGATATCATTTTGATATACTTTCACACTGTGACAGGATATCATTTTTATTCAATGAATAAATTACAGTAAATCACGGGTAAAAATGTAATAAAAACTGAATATTAATTGAAAAAAAATATTCCATTTTTTTTGTAATATATAGAAAAGATCTTGTGTTTTTGATCTATTAGGAAATGAAACTTTCAAGAATAAGTAGCCACTTAAATTTTATTTTTGATATTTAGGATTTTTTAAGTTAAAATGGGGGATTTGGGAGTACATTCTAATTTTATTTATTACCAGGTATTTTAAGTTGTTAAGGAGTAGTTGTCAAGAGTTGAAGCATTATTCATACACTTAAAAGAAACCATCTCCCTAAAAAAATGAAGATTGTGCAAAGGGGAAAAATTATATTTTTTAATTTACTTTATCAAAAAAAAAAAACCAAAAACAAAAAAAACCAAACAATCTAGAAATACATGTACTAGTATGTCCATAGTACATGAATGCCTTGTCGAGGTTATATTAGTAATGCAACATTAAAATTTGTATTAGTGTATGAAATTTGATCCGAATATCTTGAATAGTTATGCAATTAAAATGCACAGGAAGAAACAAGACCTTTCAGTTAAAACTGAAAGGCGGCTTTCAGTGTCTTTTCTGTAGACATTCAGTCACTGAATGGCACAAACATTTCAGTGACCTTTCCGTCAACTTTTAGTGACCTTTCCGTCTTTTTTCCGTGACCTCTCCGTCGACTTTCAGCGACCTTTCTGTAATCTTTATATGATCTTTCCGCCACCTTTCAGATATATTTTAGTCTTAATATAGCGATTTTTGCCACAAGCATATTAATTCATAATAAGATATTTTTTCTTAACAATGAAAAAATATTTGCAATAAAGATTTATTATTCAATCTTAATAGTGTTTTTTACTTATCGTGATTAAATTCGGGCACCTTAAAGAAATGTCAAAATAATTTTTATAATTTTTTGAAATAAATGGTACTTATTCATAATGATTTTAAATTTTCTAATTAGATTTAAAAAACTAAAATTCTTCAAGTGATAAAAAATGATGATCCGATAATCGAATCAATTTTTAGATAAATGCCGCGTTTTGTGCTTATACGTGTATTTTTCATGGAAATATCTAGTTTTGATTGATGAGACAGAATTTATATTATTTACACCTTTTCTGGAAGATCAATTTCGTTATTCATGATTTGTCAAAACCGCAGGATATTTTAGCTTTTGGAAGACATCGTTTTAAAATCATTTAACAATCATTTGTACATGCCTCTTGAAGGAAAAGGACTATATATTGTAGATTTAAGCTTTCTAAACGATATTGTTTTGATAAAAAGTTTCTGGAAGGATGATTTACAACGATCTCAAATATCTGACACTGAAACAGGTACCCGTCGCTGA